AGGGCAGCGGCAGCAGAGAGAGAAGGATCCCCGGGGGATCGGCAGCCCAGGGAGCGTGAGAGGTGTTGGGGGATGTAGGGCTCTCCTGCTGGTTAGGAGCCTGGGTTTGGGGTGCTGGTTTGGGTTTTAGTCTCTAGGTGAGATAATACTGTCCCTCGAACCCCTGCCTGCCCTTCGTCTGTGGCCATCATGATCCCTCTTCTCTTTGGCAGCAGTCGCCTCGGGGCAGTGATGTGCCTGATGATGAGCAGGATGAAGTTAGAAATGACTCCGCTGTTTTTTCTCTTTGCTCCCCTGCAAACCAGCACTGTGTTGTCTGTAGTTGATTTTGCTGTTGGCAGAGAAATCTCGTATCTCTCAGGATGTGCGCTCTTCCTTTGCGCTCTTTTCTCTGCTCTCCACCAAGTGTAATAATTCTAAAGAAAAAGAAAGACGGGCAACATAACAATAGTGGAAAGCTCAGAATAATAGTGTCATGGATCTGGCTGGGGTAAAACGCAATTTGTAATTTCAGCTTCTTTTTTTTCTTGTAAGCAGAACAAAAATACCCCCCCCATGGATTGGGTTTGTGCCAGTTGCTCTTTATCGTACACATAAATTGTGATAAGATTTGTTGTTGGTTGTTTTTTTTTATTCTTACCCACTTATTCCTGCGGCTGAAGGGCTCAAATTTTTTTCTTCAAAATTCTTAGGCTTTTTTTCTTGTTTTATTGTAAGACCTCTTGTCCAGCCATGGCTGGACGACTACTTACTTTGTTTCTTGACCCCTCCAATGCGACATTCTCATAAAATACTGCCTGAGGTGTGGTTTTGGGTTACATTCGCGTTTTATCTATTCAGTCGTATTAGCAGGAATAAAGCGACTTGTTTCTGTTGTACTTGAGTCTTACGAAAAGGTGCCCATAGTTTAGCGACAGTTTCCAAAGGCTTTAGTACCACCTGTATTACAAAATGGGGGACCCAAACTCCCGGAAGAAACAAGCTCTGAACAGACTTCGTGCTCAGCTTAGAAAGAAAAAAGAATCTTTAGCTGACCAGTTTGACTTCAAGATGTACATTGCCTTTGTGTTCAAAGACAAGGTAACTTGGTTTTAATGTTTCTTTCTGTGTTGTCTGTTGCAAAGCACATTGCGTGTGCTGTGCAAAGCCTTGCTGCCCAGTTGCATCATGGTTTATCCTTAATAGATTCCCTTAGCTTTGTAACATTGTTTTTTTTCAAGTTGCTATAATACTTACTTTACATTTGTCACTTTGGCTTTTCGTATATTTGTAGTTTTATAATGCAGAGGGTGCCAGTGCTTCATTAAAGGATTGGTAACTTCTGTATTGGGTAAATATTTGTTGATACTGTAATTCATTAAGCCTGATTAGGGTCTGAATTGCGTAAGTGTTGGCTGTGGATGGTTGAGAGGGGAGACCTGACTGGAGTGATTGCTAAAGTTTCTCTGTTTATCTGGGTAAAGCAGAAGGCAGAACCTGGCAGCTGAAGGGAGGAGTTGCAAAATGCAGTGTTGACATGGCTCGGGCACGCAAGCATATGTGCAACTGCTGCTACCATTTCGAAAGGGAGCAGGGAGGGAAAAGAGGAAGCCTTCATTGCTTGGCTGCTTTTGTCTGCTGCTGGATGCTGTGCGTCTGGGCCAGGGTGGGGAGCCTGGTGGTGTTTCTAAAGCTAACTGTAGACCCAGGGTTGTAGGACAGTTTGCATCCACAGAAGATGGAGAAGTATAGGAGCTTGTAGGAAGTGAATGTGCTGAACAAATGGCGAGGAAGTGAAGATAGAAGCAAAAGACAACAGAGCACATAATGCAGGAAATGCATGTGGACAAGAACTGAACTTGTTCTTCAGTCCCCTCAAATGTATAGCTTTCGCATTTGTTGAAATAATTACATGTTTGTTTTTTTTAATGAAAACTGTTCTTTGAACTTTTTAATTGAAAAGTTTCCCTAAAATTCGTAACTTCGATTTGCTTTTGTTCATCAGTTCTAGTGCAAACAGAGATGGATATAGTGGGGCGTAATTTCTTGGTACTGTCTCATAGTAATTAAGAGAAATATGAATGTTTAAGCAGTGGTAACTTTTTTTTTAGATTATATGAATTTAATGGTTTTATTTGGGGCATTCATACTTCTTTGTGGTTGCTGTGCAGACATTCATTGTTTAAAATCCCATAAACTGTTTTAAATCCTATAAAATTTGCTTGTATCACAGTGAACTAAGATGTCCATCCAGTACCAGTTTGCTTAAAGTAGGAGTTTTGCTCAGCTTAGCTTGGTCAGCAAATAGTTTCCTGTTATGTATGTTCTGGCTGGGAGTGTAGAGGGTTGTTCTATAAAATATATGCTGTCTGTCATGTAGTTCTTGGATAGATAAAGACTTTTCATGAGCCATAAGAAAGCTACTAGAAGCAGGCAGACAACTTTAAGTGATTTCACGTGCAGCAAAAACTATTCTTCCACATTCCTCCTAATGTTTTGGCCTTGCTTGAGAGATACCGAAATATTTGTATTGAACATGAAAGTTATTTATCAAATTAAAGTAGTCCTTCTTTGAGGAGGTTATGACTTGTACCTAACTCCGCATTGGATCGTGATCGCCCATTGTTACCAAATGTGACAAGGGAAGTACTTCAGTGCCACAAGGGGGGGGAGAGGGGGAAGTGTTACTTGATTCGCAAAGACAAGCTTGCAGAGAGCTTTTGGTCAGCCTGAAGTCACATGTTCCACATGATAAAAGGGCGGTTCTGTTAATGTTTAGGTACAGCTTTAATATTTGCAAGATTGGCCTGTAAATCTGTATCTTTGGAGACTACAAAAACATGTTCAGCTTCTTACAAAAGTTGTTGGGCTGATTCTGTTCAATTTATAAGATTTTGCATATAAATTTTAGTGTGGTTTGTGTGAAAGTCCCAACTTATGTGATGTGCGCTTTATACATGAACGCCAACAGAAAGTCACAAATTCTGAAATAAACTGTTATCTGTAATTGCCTAGAAAGAATTGTAATCTTAATGTAACCTGTGCTTTTTTCAGAAGAAGAAGTCAGCGCTTTTTGAAGTGTCTGAAGTGATACCAGTCATGACCAATAATTATGAAGAAAATATCCTGAAAGGTGTGCAGGATTCCAGCTATTCTTTGGAAAGTTCCTTAGAGCTTCTGCAGAAGGATGTAGTACAGCTCCACGCACCCCGCTACCAGTCTATGCGCAGGGTAAATTTACTCTTTACACTTGCTGAACTTTAGTTTGTTCTCAACGCTTATGTTTTTCTTTGTGAATGTTAAGGCTAATCCTGCTGGTTTTATTTTCTCAACTCTTCTGCTGCACAGTGGTTCTGAGGGCATGTGTTTATGGGGTCTAGTTTGAAGGGTAGCAGAATATGTATTCTGAAATTCCATTTGAATGTGTAGTGCTCAAGCTTTACCTTTCATCTGTCTCATTCAAATATGCCTTGGAAATTGTCGTCTTGCAATCCTTGTCCTCTAGTAGGCATGTGCTAATTCTTGCAACAACTCTTGCTGTGCAACTAAGTGATTTGGCTTTATGCTTTATGAATATTGGAAGATAGACAGTCTTTGCTAATGTTGTCTTAGAATTGGGATTTATATTAACTGGATGCTGATATTAAAACTCGGTGGAAGGCAAGGATGACTTCAATTGTGCTATGCATAATACAAATGGAAAATTACACAATCATGGTGATAAGTACCACCTTTAAATTATGTTCCTGTAGTAGAGCTAAGTTGCTTATCTGTATCTTTGACTTACGGAGGGAATGTAAGTACTGAACTTTCACTACTTACAGGATGTGATCGGCTGTACCCAGGAGATGGACTTCATTCTTTGGCCTCGTAATGATATTGAGAAGATAGTCTGTCTCCTGTTCTCTCGGTGGAAGGGATCTGATGAACCCTTTAGGCCTGTTCAGGTATTTGGTTTTGTTTTTACCTTCAATAAGTAACTTACGCTTGGAGGGGAGGATATACTCTTTCTTCTTAATGAGTAAGTTAGTGAGGTGTGTGACTTCTGCAAATAGTAGAAAGTATGATGGCTGGTTATATTTATAAAGCAGTCAAAGTTTTGAATGCCAAATTCTACTTTCTATATTTATGCACTGTTGTGTTAGCACTTCCAAAATTTAAGCGTCTGAGGACCCTTTGCAAATGACATGTATATATAAATACATACATCATGTTAGTATTTGTAGAAGTGGTTTTGATGTTGCTCTTAGTACAGCTGAATCTTTGTGTCATTAAGGTTCTGTGAGTATCCCAAGCTGCTGTATTTTGTTAGATGGGAGTCTGAGATGTATGGAATGTTTGCATTGTGATTTTACTTTGAAATAAATTTCAAACATTTTAGACTGTTTTTTTTCAGTAGCCAGCTTTAGCTGTTTGCATCCAGATTTTTGAACAAAAATGTTATATGTAGTTTCTGTGCTGGTTCTGCAAGAAAAGTTACTGGAGGAAACATGCTGCGTTGTTGATGCACAGGAATGTTCTGACAGAACAAGCTAAATCTGGTTTCATATATGCACTTAAAGTTGTATCTTTGAGTTGTTAATACGTCATTGCAATGACTAATTCCATATTGGTAGAATGAAACTAGGGAATTCTTTAAGCTGTGCCAGGACTCAACTGTGTCATTGTCGCTGTGGTCCCCAGTTTCTGCTTTTCGTAGATGAGAAAAGGAAAGAAACAAAAGTGGTTGTAAAGCCCCAGATTGAAGGAAAGTAGTTGGTTAAACGTGAGCTTTAGCTTAATGAATATCTTATTCTCCTCCCTCGCACAATGCAGGCCAAGTTTGAGTTTCATCACAGTGACTATGAAAAACAGTTTCTGCATGTTCTGAGCCGAAAGGACAAGACTGGAATTGTTGTCAACAACCCTAACCAGTCTGTGTTTCTCTTCATTGACAGACAGCACTTGCAGGTGAGCTTATTTTATCCCTCCTCTTAATATGTGTTTTTGCAAAAGACTCAAGCACAAAAATTGAGCATGCGTGCGTTCATGCTTGCATTTCAGCAGTTTCAGAGGAAACTTACACTATAAATAGGATTCACACATGCAAAAACTAGCTACGGGCCACAGATGTGTTTGCAGTAGAATTAATTTAGTGTTCTCGTATTAAAAATTAAATAGGTTCTAAATTAGACTTGATGGTGTTTTGGAAAGGATTAAAACATTGGCTTAATTTGGGTGACATTACAGAAATTATTCAAGTGAAGAATGACCAGAATAGTGAAAATATTTTAGGCATTTGAGGTCACAGACTAGTTCTGAGTTCAGGCTGTTTATACAGATGAAACAGTGGCTTTTAAATGTCTATGTTGTTCCTCCACAACCAGCAGCAAGCTAATGATTGGGCTGGAACTGCCTATTAGTCTTGAGTTAACTTCCATGTTTTACAGCTTTTCTTTGCATTTTCTTTTCCTCTAGACTCCAAAAAACAAAGCTACAATCTTCAAGTTATGCAGCATCTGCCTGTACCTGCCACAGGAGCAGCTCACTCACTGGACGGTTGGTACCATAGAGGATCACCTCCGTCCTTACATGCCAGAGTAAGGTGCTGGCCAGCAAAATGGGGAAGATCACAGAATGCAGCAGTGGATTTTCACGTTCCTCACCACTTTATTCTTTCAGAATTTAGAAGAAAATGGACTCATGTTCAGAACACTATACATTGTGAAACTTGATCATCCTGGATTTTTTTTTTTGTCATTTGTATCTCAGAACTTTACAATTTTTTTTAGATGTTTTCTGCATGGACCTTGTGAAAGAGAGGATGCTCTGCACGCTTCTGCACTGCATCAGCATCTTACTAAAATGTGAAATGAAGGGACTGTACACTGAAACAAATGCATCCGAAAGCACAAGGTGATCATTTGTGGTGGTGTTCCCATTTGTGCTGGTCATTCCCCTTAACATCTATAATGTTAACCATCAGTATTTGGAGGGTGAGAAGTGAATGTAACGGGTATATGATTGTATCAAAGAGCACTATCATTCATTTTAATGAACAGAGAAGTGGCTATTACAATAGGAAGTAAGTGCGGGAAAGAAATCTTTCGTTTAGAAAAAGCATCTCATTTAATGTGTAGGCATTTTTTGCCTCTTTTATTTTGCTGGGCCACGTCTGAGTTTACTGGCACTTTCATGTTGGATCTCTTTCCCCAAGTTGCTGTGTAACTGTACGAAAGTATTCTTTTGAGTTGGATACATTTATGCAGATGAGGCAGACCTGGAGTCTGAAGTTGCTGAAGCAGCTAGAAATAAAGTAAAATAATAGCTGCAGAAACAATGTTAGTAGAGGATTATTTTTTCTTGAGAGTTGAGACTTGTAAACTTGCAGGTGAACTGTGCAGGAAATACTGGTTTCTAAAACATTTGTTATGGAAAACCCATGGAGGTTTTTTTTCTTTTGGAATAGACTTTATAAAACAATGTAAAATAGTGTTTGGAGTGTCAAAAGTTGGTTCTGACAGAACATTTTAAGATTGTGCAATGATGAAAGGAAGACTACTGTATAGTTTTGTTGACAAAGAAGGCTCTGCTTAAGGGTTGAGTACTTTACTGGAGTAAAACTGCATAAGCCTGCTCCCTTTGGATAAAACTAGTGCTTACCTGTTTAAAACTTGTATTTAGCTTTTGTTTGGAATTGGAAAAAATTGGAACTTAAATAAATTAGGTGAAAGATGACTGGCTTCATTTATGGAAATCGTATGAATTGAATTTTATTAGTGTCTTACATCGTGACAGTGTCACCCCATTGCAAACACTGAAAATGTACGAGTGTATAATGATACTAAGATTGACAAAGACTAGTTGGAAAGGTGTTCTGACATGTGGGCACTATGTTTGTATTGAAAAGTAGTTGTCAGAAATAATTTAATTACTGGCACAGTGTTGTATTGGTACATGGATATTTTTAGTTCTGTTGTCATGAGGTCCTACGGATTAAACTGGAGCACCCTGGAAAAACACCACCTGAAAGCTGTGACTTCACATTAATAAATGCCACCAGTTACAATGAAATAGCTCGAAAATGCTGCTCTACAGAGTGCAAAGACTTTCATATACTCTTAAGACTATTTCATAACCATGATACCTGCTCGTAGTACTTCAAATTTCTCAGCTACATTTAAATGCTCCTTCTTTGAATGGCCTGCAAGTGTCCACATGAAGCTTGAGGTAGGTTTTGCAGGGCCTTGAACGTTCCAAGTTGCACAAGTACAGATTTTGCTTCCTGAGTACAATCCTTTGGTTTCTTCTTAATGTGTCATTTTGGACATCGTCTCACAGCAGTGAGAAGATGGCCATAGTTACCTTGATTAGCAAAGCAAATGACTTAGTAGTTCTTGCATTAGGAATTTTGGTTTTCTTCGTTCTGGGTTCTCTTAAAAGAAGCCCCAAGATGTTGGCCTGAGTGGTTTTTTAAGTGTCAGCAGTGGTATGATCCTTAACTTTAATTCCCTTTATTAGAGGGCACGACCTGCTCAGTTTAATTGCTTTTTTAGTTTTGTATGGGATGAGTAAGACGCACAGGCTACTCGTTTGTTCTTCATGACAGTAATCCCAGAGTTAAATAATACTGCTTTCTTGGGAGAACATAGTTGGATAATACTAGTTTTGTTAAATGTGGTCTTTTCTACCCAGCTAACAAATGTTGTGCTTTTGCTGGGCTATCGGATGGAGTTGATAGCCATCTGCATTGTGTAAGCTGTGGAAAGAAAGGGAGAGGGGAACAATAGGCTTCAGAGCAGGAGAGTCTTGGGGAGGATGTGGGAGTTTGTTCTTAAATCATTTGGCATCTTTGAAAGGTGTCTCTCCACTTAAACAGGGTGACTTTTGAGGGAAAAGATTAAACTGGAAATGAAGTGTCCATTTCGATTTCGGAATGTTCTTCATCGAAATGCCCTGCAGAAGTGAGCGGAAGCAGTTCACAACATCCAGCTTCTGGTTTCAGGCCCTCTTTATATCAGCTTAGTGGCTTTTCGGTAGGCTTTCTTAACTTCAAAGTGTGGGTTTTGTCTCACAAAGCTAATGTTCACAAAGCGTGGTTTGTGACTGGGTAAACCTAACGAGTTTGTTCAGTGGAGCTGTATGTAAACACAAAAAGGCCTCTCTTCTAACACAGAAATTTTGGTCACTACCTGCTGTCCACTGCTGGAGTGGCTCCTTTGGATGTGGTAATACCAACAGCTGAAATGTGCTCAGTATCTCACCTGAATATGGGAGTTTTACCAGGCTATTACTTGAGGATTTGTCTTATGAACTTGGCAAGCCCAAATGGGGTGGGGATGAACGTGGAGGCAGCAAAAGAAAGCACATAGAGGCCTGTGAAATCTCTTGCAGCTAAGCGAAGTGTCTGGTGAATGGAAGCTTGTGTCAGATCCTTCCCAGGTGATGAGGAGAAACTTCTTCAGTGTCATAGCCTGTACATGGCTGTACAGTTTCTCTTTGCTTTTCAAGCTTCGGCTGCACAAGTGTTACCAAAAGTATGGTAAGATGCACAGAATCGCTTGTACGAGCACTGCCCCAATGTCATAGGCCTGGAGCTAGTCTGTAGTTGATGCCCTTTGCTTTCTTTTTGAGACAGATGTGACATAAATTGCTTCTCAACAGCTATTTTGCTACATTAAAGTTGCTCTGTTAAGTGATATGACAGGTACTAGAAACACATTTGGATTATTCAGTGTTTCTCTTAAAGAAAAAAATTGGTTACTCAAACCAGAACTAACCTTTTAAGCATTGAAAGCTTTAGATCAAGCCACTGATCTCTTGCTACAAGTTGGGTTTTGCATTCCTTGTGAATGACCATGTCTTTTTGTTGACCCATTAAGGCATAATGTATTAGTTTTAAAATTACTTTAAAACCTGATACAAGTGCCGTAAAATCCTGCTGCTTGAATGTACTCTGAGCTTGAGCTCTACAGGTGTCCTTCCCTGCCTGTGTCTGTTCTGCTGATGGGAGAACACTGTGTTTTCTTCTGCTTGTCATGTGCCGAGTCGTGAGGTTACTTGCAGTTAATGAACACCATCTCATGTTAAATCTGCGTGTCTGTTTGGGGGCTGAACAGTAGCAATGGTCACTTAAGGGTGTTTTTTGCTTCTGAAGTGTGAGATTATTCCAATGGACTGTTGCAGGATTCATTTCAGATTACATTAAGGTTCTTGCCACCAGCATTATAGTTGGTAAAGTCAAGAATTACTAGACTATGTTTATGTCTGCTGAGCAGACAGGCATGTGGTGTGAGTTTACTTAACTGCTGTCTGCTTTTTATTAGCTTGGAAAAGCTTTTCCCATTTTTAGTTTTGCATTTATTTCAGCAGCAAATTCAGAATCTGTTCAAGTCTACAGGTTCTGGAACAGCTTTCTGGAATGAAGCAATGAGATGAAGGTCTTTAATAGCATTTTATAAAAGGGAAAAAAAGTCTAGCATGCATGTTTGAGGCATGGCACGAGCCTGAGTGGTGTTTGTTCTAGAATTCCTTTTGTGGAACAAATGCACTTTTTAGTGATCTTTACAGACAAACCCCTCTGGCCTTATGGTTTGTGAAAATGTTGTTAGTTGTCTGTTAGTGTCATTAGCACACAAAAAAGTAATTTCTCTATATAGGTTTGGCCTTCATCTGCACCTGTACTGCTTGATGCCACGCTGGCGGTGTGGGAGCAAGGCCTTGGCTTGTAGGTGTGTTCCGTACCTGCTGGGCTGCTTCGCTTTGCTGCAGCATGGCGGAGAGCGAAGCGGTTCGGGCAGAGAGGCTCTGCAGTAGCGCTGGAAGCTCCCTTGGCTCTTTCGCTGCCACAGTGCGCAGGGGCGGGGTGCTAGGTGTTAGTTGGGTGTTCGGATCTTCCTCGTTGGGGTGTTCTGGGAGTACAGATGAGCTCCCTGCGGTCAGGAGTGCTGAGAAGGGAATTGCAGCTCCATCTCCAGTCGCTGGTCCTGCTCTGAGATGTGTGCCTCGCAGCTGGGACTGTACAGCGCCGGTGCTGTGGAGGGATACGTCAGCTCCACGGGTTCACTGCAGCAATCCGGCTGATACGCAAGCCTAATTCCTCTTTTGTGCAGCTGACTGAAATGCTTTTTAGGGCTGAAGATACCTATGACCTAGTTCTGCTTGGAAGGGATTCACACACGGAAAGGTCCCTTAATTTGAGCACAATTACTGTGTGCTAGAGCACCCACTCTATGTGCTGCTTTTCTGCTGTCCTGAAAAACTATTGAAGCAGCTGCTGCTTTTAAGCAAAAGAAATCAAAGATCCAGGATCTTACTACAGTGGTACAGCCCCAGGTATTGTTCTGGTGAACAGTAGTAGTTTGGTATTTGTTTTTTTTTTCCTGGATGTGTCTTGATTACAGCCTACAGGTGATTTGCTCGGGTTTAGGTGAGAACTGTAAATGCTGCAGTGTCCCATAGCCGTGGCAGCTCCTGCCCAGGGGATCTGGTAACAGCAGTCATTTGGTGAACGCGTTACAGAATCACAGAGGTGGTAATAACTGTCCTCGTGTTGTCCCCGAACTCTTAAGTAGCAAAACAGGAACAAAAGTGCTTTTTTCTTCATTCCCGTGGGCAGTGAGGTGAGGGAGAGGTTTGGGGGTTTCTTTCTGCTGGCTAAATGGTTTCTGCAAATAGAGAATTCTAAAATGGTTAGTGGTGAAACGCAGTTGGAAATTCTTCCGTCTGCCCTGGCGGTGGCTCGCAGCCAGTCAGTGAAGCTGAACAGAATAGAACTGCTGTTCAGAACAGTTACTTAACAGCCGAATTCTCCCTCTGCCCCCTCCCCCATCCCCTTTAGGTGGTAATGCTTGCCAGTTGGAGAATTGTAAACCAACTAGCTTGTGAACTGGCAGAGTAACCTAGGTGAAACAGCTCAGCTGAGACCCCTGTGACAGGTGGCTCAATCTGAAAGACTAAGGAGGATTCCTGATAGTTCAATGCTTGTTTCAGCAGCGATGTCCTTCCTTACCCTCTCCTTTCCCCACTTTATCACTGACAAGTTGCTTCTTCCTGAGCTCTGGAATACTTAATGACTAAATCCCTCCTCGTGGCACCTTAATCTGTGATTGGTTTGTGCCCTGATTAGTATCTGGACTCTTGGTTTAAACGCCAGTGGGATTCTGTTCTTACTCCTCATTTTCTCAAGGGATCCGTAATGCACTGTTCCACTGTGGTGCAAATACCTGGCTGTCAGTCTGAATGCATTTGTGCAGTAGTAGTGATGTGAAACCAGTGTGAAACACTTGGCTGACCAGTATATTGCATAAACTGGGAGGCTGCAGTTACCTTCACTGATACAAACTGTTCCATAGCGTGTCGTGTACCACTGTGTGAAAAGCATGGCCTTCCCTAAGGACAGACCTCTAGACATCAAAGAGCATGGTGTAGGTGTTTGGTACGCTTAAAAAAAAAAAGATTTGGGAACAAAAACCCCACATGCTATGGGAGGGACAGTCTCATTTGCAGCTGCAAGAGACGGAGCTTCCAGGTGTCTGTCCGTTATCGGGTATGTAATCTGGTATAGCAGTAAGACTCACAAGATGATCTCATCAAGTCACTTTACTCGCTTGCTTGTAAGGGAATGATGCCTAAATCTGCAGGGACGGAACCAGATCCACCCCACAGGAGATGTGGTTGTTCTGATGCCAGGTGGAACCATGTGCCATTTGTCCTTATGATGGTGATTGCTTTCCGTT